CAGGTTTTGAACAGAAGTTTAACAGAAAATTCTGGATGTCACTTGAGATGCCCGCTACATTGGCCACAGAGGGTATCGTGGTGAACTACGATGTTGTTACCAGTTTAATTGTTGTAAAACCTCACGGTATTAAAAGAACAATCAAAAATGCTCTTAATAATTTGGCAGATGTTGTCTCGGTCAGATCTGATCCTACTCGGAAGGTTCTCGAAGAGGTCAAAAAAAATCACGAATAAAATTTACACCGAAATCAAAATAGATAGATCTATGAGAATTGAATATGGCAAAACGCATAGTTGGCTTCAGAGGTTATGCGATGGGCTTTTCAATGTTGTTGGAAATTTGAGCCATTCTCAACCGAATTTTTGCCACAGATTAATGATTTTAATCCAATTGAGGTAAATTTAGAATTGCCCTACTAGTTATTTGAAATAAAACCATCTTGTTCTTATTGATATCTCTATTAAAAATACTTTCAGCTAGAGGTGTGCAAAATTCTAAGTCAAAACATGGAAGAATGGCATTCTGTACAAAAGAAAAAACTCGAAGTTCTCCAAACAAATTTCACAAACCTCTTGTTAGATCATTCTGCTAAAAATCTGTCTTTGTAATTAACTAAGCACATCCTCAAGACGGTGGCTGAAAGTCTTTTAGCCCACGAATCAACAATTAGAGATGACGTTTACAATTATTTGCAAGAAAGCTGGGTGAACGAGTACGGCACGACCCATTGGGCGCATACACAAAGTTCGGTAAAAAGGATCATAACGTCGTTTGTGAACATCTCACTAACCTCGAAATACTTACTCGGAGAGTCTTTCAAGAAGAGTGCAAGACTAAAATCACTACATTAGTGGATGGCAAGTTTAGAGAAAGTAAGCAAACAATAAACGAAATTGAAACGCGCCTCACTTCAGAAATTGTCAGCGTATGGAGTCTCGGTCAAAAGTCTACTATTAAAGTTATGTTCGAAAAATCTCGAGAAAATACCGCGTACAATTATGTCAAAATATAATGTCGAAGATCCCAAGAAAGTTTGCGAAATTTTCAAAGAAAAGTTTTGACAAGCTTCGTAACCAATGGAAAACTGAGGCGTATCTTGAAATATCAAAGACGCGTCTTCGGGCACATGCTGATCAAATAATCGAAGCGAAATGGAGCATCTTGGAAGGTTGCACTGCGCGTTATCCTACTTGTGATTCAAAATGTGAAGATATTAAAGGCACCAGATATACACATCATACCTCTGCACATGTGATCACGGCCTTTGGAGGATATAGGTATGTGCACAGCAGAGAAACAGGCTTGGTTGTTTGTTCTGAAAAAGCAGCACACGAATTGCGTTGGAAAAGCAACAATATTGACCAATTTTTGAGTTAAACATGTTGATGGACATCAATCAACCACCTTGGTTAAAAATAGAGTCTAAAGATGTCGCGGATAACGAGATAAGAAATGCGTGGTGTGTGGTGGCATCTTAGAGAGGAATGGTGTGAAGGACATAACGCCTGTAGATTGGGTTAAATATATAAAATGATCAAGTTCATCTTTCATGCAGGTCCTATCTAGTTTATGTTTCAGTGACTTTTTAGGACTTTGATCTTCCTTTATTTGCTTGCATCAAAAATACGCATTATCTTCCGTCACTATGAATCTCGTTTCGCGATCTTGTCTTTTTCAACCATTGGTCCAAGTATTTTTGGATTGATCTGCATCAATTTTATTTCCAATAATGTATTTTACAAATAATTGGGATTATTTTTATTTGTTCATTAAAATTGTGAATTACATATAATTTTGAAAATTACTCGCCGATTTTCCAAGAATTACACGACGTTGAAATGACATGATCAAAGATTAACTCGAGAATTACATAAAAATGTTGAATAGAATTTCAATGATCCTATCCGTTATAGAATGTTATGCATCCAACTTAGGTAGGAGCACTCTGGCTCATATTAAAATATATAACCCACTCCAGAGTGGATTATATGTTTTAATATGAGCCGGAGTGCTCTATTAACAACCCTAAACTTGGGTGATAAGATTTGTTTTGCCAGGTTGATCAAAAATTCGTTACCCGGCAATAGAAAATTCACACGTACGTTCTTATTGATTGGTAAGCACGTGAGGGTGAGAGTCATAACTTGAATTTTATTGTTATTCTGAAAATTTAATATCTTTTGTTATTATCTTTTGACCGTAAAAAAAAGTAAAAGAAAAAGGTTAGTAAATAAGAGAAAAAGAAAAGGGAGAGGAAGAGTGAGAGTGAGAGAGGAATAGAGGAATGAGAAGGAAGAAGAGGGGAATAAGAATGAGGAGAGAAAAACGCGTTATTTCGCGCTATAAAACGCGCGTCATAAAATGAATTGCGAAAATGAAGCGAAATAGCACGTTCTCTCTCCTTCCCTTTTCTTCCTTCACCTTCTTTCTTTTAGATACCTTTATTTTTTTAATATAATTAAAATAAATTATTAATTATTTTACTTTTATTAAAGGTCACTTTCGCTATGGCTCACCCATCATCAGATGATATTAAGGATAT